CTCTCGTCAATATGCGTTTTTCGCATTGCATTGCTGCAAAAAACGCATAAAAACGCATAAAAATGAGCTTTTAGTAGCTCGAATGAGCTTTAATAAAAGTTAGCATTCACTAGTAAGGCTTTTTTTCCAAAAATGCTTTGAGTGCGATGCGATGGCAATTTGGAAATACTTCATTATCGAAACGGTCAAGCCTCCAATCAATATTCACCACCTGTTTGATGTGTGTGCGCCACCCTTTCGGGTGTAACCCGAGTAGCCGTTTACTTTTTTAAGGGTACCACTCAATGATGTGCTCTGCCCACCGGCTGTCTGCCAGACGAGCCCCATGCCCTGACCTATCGAATTCTACTCTCTTTTGTGGATATCCTGGAAACTGCCCATCCGAATCTGACGACAGCCTGATTGTTCATACGGTCAGAAACAAAAAGCGGTTACAGTACAATGATAATACTGCATATGAGAACTTGATACTTTCATAAAACAAGTAAAATATAAAATCTGGTACGCTTTTAAGTAGTAAGCAGATAGGCCAGCGATTAATTAGTCTTGTAAATCAGAGATGCTTGTTAACAAAAAACATCACGAAAAATAAAAAAAAATCGCATTTATTCAATAAGCACGCATTTTCTAAACCAAAACTGCCGAAACTGGGCCCGTATTAGTCCGCTGTAGAGCAGTGATAGAAAGAAATTTGAAAATACAGAAATTTTCTTAAAAACCTGTAAGTCGCGCATTCCAAGTTCGTTCACCAGCCGTCGGCAGAGTGCTATTGGGCATGGTGCACCGGCAACAAAGCCTGCAAATAATAACATGCTAATCTGCTTATGATCTATCCAGCAGGCAAAATCTCCTCGCTAATTCTGCGAAACAAGATCTTCAAACAAATCTCATTTTAATGCAATTTTTATCAAGATCGATCGAATTCGTCGGACAGTGATATACTATTTGAACAGATTGCAGTATCATACCGGACTTATCAGTTTCACACGATTTTTCTTAGAAAAGTGATTAGCATTGTTAAATGCTGATTTTACGAGTATTCGCGTTTTTTTAAAAATTCCGAACTCCTCTCAAAAAACGAAAAAAAACGTTCAGCTCTTAAATTGCTGTGTCTGGAAATGAAACGCACCTGAGGTTATTGAGGTGTAATCAAATTCTTTGTATCGTGGATGATTTAACATATCAATATACATCGTTGGTGTGCCATAGACTGTTGTGCATCTGAAGCATTTTTTTTAGACACCCATAAATTTGTAGGATGGTTATCAACAAGTGAAAGATTTCAGTTAGTATTTATAACGGATGACAAAAACTAACTTTTCCTCATGTATTGCTTGTAAAGCCGCTAGAGCATCAAACGATGGTGCCGGGAAAACACAGGTTTGCAGATGAACACAGGCACTCAAACTGCCCATTACGCAACCAAAACAGTGATACAGCGGATTTGGAACGCAAATTATCGTCCTCTGAAAGTAAATTTTTTTTAGCAGAATTTTTGGCGACTCCAGAAAATTCAAATCCCGGATCTTTGAGCCACACAGAGCTGTCAAAAGTCTACACGTTGGTCATTTTTGTCGACGGGTGGACAGACTTAAACAAGTGTCGCTGTACTACTGGTGAAACAGTATGCGTTATACAAGAGCAATGATGTAATTTTCAAGACATCACAAGTTTGCGAGGAAAAGAGCTGTATGAGTGCAAATCAGATACTGATAATTCTCGCCAATGACCGCCACAGCTGTTGATCAAAAAAAAAAAAAAAAATGTTCCAAATGTGCCAAAAAAAATTGCGAATTTTTCTACTGTATTCTTAATGACTTGTGGACTTCGGCAAACCACGCAGGTCATTTCTTCAACTGCCAAATAGTAGTTTTTTCATGATAAAAAAAATAGTGAATTGTTGCGCCCAGTGTGCAAATGTCACGGAGCATTATGCTGCATTGCGGAGCCTAGTATTTTGGCGGATCTTGTTAGTTTTCCTCTCCAGAAAACATCTTGTTGACCGATCGCTTTTGTAAACTGATATTTCTTCAAAAAAAAAAGAAAACCTACCTTTTCATTATAACCAGCACGCCGTCCAACAAAATACGCATTATTCACAACATTATGATGAGTCAGTGTAGCGCCTTTTGGTTGACCCGTGGTTCCCTGAAATGAGATGGAATAGCGCACATATCAAAACTAGCTACCAACAACTTTTTCTGCCCTTTGCTACCAATCCTCTGTAAAATCTTACACTAAAACTCTAAGTGTCAGAATTTAGTGGTATTCCTTCCCACAGGAATTGTACAAAGTCTCTAAACAATCAAACTACTGTAGGCTGTTTTGTCACACCAATGCCGTTCACACTATCGTGAAAAAAAAAAAAGAAAAAACACTCAATTCGCTTTGCTATTCGCCCTGCTTGCTGTTTAGCATAAAGGGCCTATCTTACCAAACGAACAAGAAGGCCCTACACTTGTATACTGTATGTTGACCGGGTCATCTGGTTGCACTCGCCGTTCGATATTTGCCAGCTTCACACGATCTTCTTCGGTGCCCATTTTGATTACATCAGAATACCTCCATGCACCTCTGAAATCGTGTAGTACGCCAATCATAAGCGCTATGGGCTTTTTTTTGCTGCAATGATAGGTCTGAAAAGTTTTGAAATTTCAATCACGTTCCCTCTCCCTAATTTTTCTTCCACTTTTCCCAACGCCATCGCAGGCAGGCTATCGTCAAAATATATCGTGAAGCACTTCCTATTTTGGAACATAATCTCGAACCATTACTTACAGAGTTAAGGAGAACCAATAATACCAAGCTTAAGGCCCACCCTACTTTATGAACACCTTTCAGTTAATACTAGCAATTCAGCATTTTAAAGAAAATCGTCATTTGCTCGGGGACGTATTCGCAACCTTCAGAGTGAAAATTTAAAGGAATTTTGCTGTATTTTCTGTAAGATTAGGTAAACCCTCAACAAATTATAACACTGTAAAGATCTAAAAAGGAGGAAGGGCTTAAACGTGGACAAATAGGATTTTTATAGGATTTTTCTTTGATTTAAAAAAAAGTACTAGTACACTGGGAGCAAAACACAAGCTATCTTTTCTTTTACACAGTACGAATCCAGAATGTTTGTGCATAAAATAATGATGCGAATAAACAGTAGTGAAATTAATACCTGTAAGATTTCTCCTCGTCGTTTCGATCAATTATGATGAAATGACGAAATTTGGGAAAATAATGCACATTCATTTCGCCTCTACCTTCGGGTTTATTTGCAAGCTCGGGAATAACCTCCGTCATGGATGCATAATAATTAGATTTTTTGAAGCTCGACGGTGAGATCAGTGCTTTTATGCCTACTTTGTCCAGTGCAAATTTTAGCTCCTCGGATTGATACGAGGGATTTATATTAACCTAAATTATTGTTAAATTATCCATCATTATTGATGAGAATTTTTAATAAACTAATTAGTCTGGTACTGAACTGCTGCAACATGGCGTGTCACGGCACTTATTTTTTTAAAATTTCGGTTTGCCTATTTTTGAGAACAGGAGTGTCAACTGCGAGTGGTGTAGCACTGGCTAGCAACTGGAAATGCTGCCCAGATGCAAAGCTGGAGAACCACCCTTTAGGTAGCAGCTGGTCAACCGTTTCAAAGTAGGTATTTTGAGCAAGTGATCCACAAAACGAATTTGAAATAATTGGTCAACGTACGGGCTGTCCGTGCGAAGATGTGTTTTTTGTATAGTTCCCCGCAGTTTTTGTCGCCACCGGCATCGATTTTTTCGACAAACCCTCCTAGTTAAACAAATAAAGACTGCCCGCCAAAACTGGTAGGAAACACCCCCTTAAAATTTCAGCTTCTAGTTTTCCTGGCTCCTGAGTTAGCAGTTTACTGGAAAAAATCTTTCACGAGCCCGCACGCGGGCACCGCGCATACCCGATGTCTGGGTTTGAGCTCGTTGAGACTTACTTGGGCGGAGAACATCTTTCTAAAACTACAGTCTTTTGGCTTTACAGGTTCTCGAGTTATGAGCTAACCTGAGAAAAACTTTGGTGAGCCGTGCGTAGGTACCACGCATGACAGAGGGCTGGGTTTGATCTCGTTGAGACTAATGTGGACGAAAAACACCCTTATAATGTTACAGTCTTCTAGCATCTCAGATCCCCGAGTTATGAACTTGTCTGGGAAAAATTTTGGCGGGCCAACACGCGGGTACCGCGCTTACCCGGGGTTGGGTTTGAGCTCATTAGTACCTACTTGGACGGGGAACATTCCCTTCAAATTTCAGCTTTCTAGTATCTCAGAACCCGAGTTATGAACATGTCCAGGAAAAACTTTGGTGGGCCAGCACGCGGGTACCACGCTTACCAGGGGACTGGGTTTGAGCTCATTAGCAGCTACTTGGACGGGGAACATTCCCATAAAATTTCAGCCCTCTAGCTTTTCTGGCTTGTGAGTTAGCAGCTTACCCGTAAAAAACTGTGGCGGGCTCTTACGTGGGTACCACGCGGGAAAGACCGCCCATTTTGGGGGGTTGGGGCCCGTACGTGCATGTAGATTAAGTCCCCAAATTTTCAGCCCTGTAGCTTTTGTAGGTCTCGAGATGAAAAATCGGTACAGAGGCCCTGCGCACACACA